TCCCTACAAGGACAAAGTAGTAGTGTAAGTTTCCTTAGTCTTAGACTGATAATTTTAATTTTTATCATTTTTATACATAAGACATTTTCTTACCTAGAAAACGTTCACTATAGCAGCAGTGACTGACTCAGAACTGTAAAACATCAGAACTAAAGGGAATTAAGAGATTAAATGCAACTTTCTACTTTACAAATGAGGAAACTGAGGCTTAGTGTTGATAAGACTTCCCTACAGTAAAACAACAAAAAACCTAAGCTAGATCCAACAAAATAGTGCTCTTAAAACTATAGATCAGGACCAACGAATTAAGTGGGCTGCTATCAGCATTTTTCAAAAGCAACAGAGTACAAAATATCAGAGGTTTTTCATGAAGGATAAGTATTATTCCATAAAACTTCTGTTTCAGTTTTATGTATATGTTGGATATATGTAAATGCATTTATTAGTGATTAAAAATTGTGGTAGTCATTGCAATAGAATATCTAATTCTCTCAGGGCATTTTAAAATTTATTCTTATTTTTATATTATGATTATTAATAAAACTAATATTAATAAAATAACGGTAATTTTAAATATGTAATTTTTTATTTATTGATGACTCACTTTAAGCTAATAAAAATATCTCAGCATTAAATACTAAATACTGCCATTTAAAAAAAAGGCCATTTTTTCCCCTTTCAAATAGGTTCTGAATGTTGTACCCCTCGTCATATGTGAATAGGCTTTCTTTAAAATATCACATTTCTGTTGAGCTTATATGTACAATTGCTAGACAACCTTTTTAAAAAGAATACTGAATTCTAGAATTCTGATCATTAGCACATATAAAATATCACTCTCTGTGAAAACACAGTGACCTCTAGTGGATTCATTAAACAAACTGACATCCTATCTACTTCTAACACCCAAACCTACTCCTACAAGTTTATTTTTTCATCTCAGCTGAAATAACATTGTAATAAAATAGAATAAAAACTCAATGTTTTTATTCTAACTTACATTACAGGTCCCTATTAGAATAAGTATCAATTGTATTTGTTTTGCCATCCCGGTGAGATTTAAATTTAAATTTACAGGTTGGGTTTTATACATGTGTATAGCCTGCCAGGCACTAAGCACATACTACATATTTTGAATGTAACTTAAATTGATTAGTTTAGATTAGGGAAACCAAGGCCATTTCATTTTTTTTTTTTTTTAAGTAAATAAAGGCATATAGATAAGGTAGAACTTCAGGAAACACAAACATAAAGTGACAGGCCTTCATGTTTTAGGAAAAAAGTGGGTGTTCTAACAGAAGAAAGATTTTAGGAAAAGGTTAGAGGGAAGAACTGTTCTAAATTAGCTAAAGGAAGTAACAATAACTATATCTGAAGAAAACAGAGATAACAGAAAAGATGGTTTGGTAAATGGTTTTGAGGTAGTTGAAGCAGATACGAGGATTGGCTAAATGAGAGGACTAAATTTAAGTAGAGAAGATATCTTTGGAAGCAAAGTTAAAGATAATTTAAAGAAACACTAGTTTTAACAGTGGGAAATAGAACATGTTGCTGACATAGGGCTGAGGCGGCGATGGGCAGCTCTGGTGAAAGAAATATTAAGAAAGGAGAAAAAGAGTGATAGTTTAAAAGTTACTCTCAGCTTCCCAGTCAACTTGGACAATGCTACATACAATATTTTGCTTGAAACAAGAAAGTCAGATAGGCTGATAGAGAAATGATGAACAATTTAGTCTTCTTTATGTTTAATTCAATTAACAAAGGCCATAAGATGGTATGTTTTACATATTCTAAACCACACACTATTGGATCATCATGCAAAAGCGTCTGCTAACATACTGTCATCAATACAACTGATGCTAGTTGAAGTTACAGTAGCACCATATAACCCTGGGCATAAAACTAAGACTTTTGGTTTTTTTTTAGGCCAAGATCTTTAGTCAATTTGCATCTCATTACATTTGTTATTAACTTTATTTAGCATAGATAATTACACAAAATCCTATTTTACCACAAATGACGCTGCCTTATTATAATATTCTATCAAACATGAATTACTTGGGACATTATCTCATTAATTTAAGCCTTTGTTTGGAATTTCTAGACAATACAGTTTAATTATATAACAATTTTTGTTATTTTTTAAATATTACTGTACCATTTACCTCGCAATAATAAATTCTCTCAAATTTAGTAACTACTAAAATACTGTAAATGTTTAACCATTTCTCAAGAGGCAAAATCTCAGGAATGTTCATATACTTTTTGCTAAAAATGACTCTCAACTGGGACTCTTTAAATTTAAAAATTATAGATTTTTAATAAAGGTTCAATGAATTAATAACCTGAACTTTTTAACCTTAGTACATAATTTCCTAATGACAAAGTGAGTTCAACTGGATTCCAAGATCTAGTATCTTTTAAAAAAAATTTAACATAGTTATTCCAGGACTATTATATTAATAGAATTAAAAGAAATAACTGGCAGAGCAGGAAGCAAAGTTTAGGTTTTGCGATTAAAGCTAAAACTACAAATAACATGTATATGCAATACTTAATAGCTATGCTTAAAAAGTAACCATTTCTTCACAATTAAAATGGATACTGTGGTAACATACTAAAGAAAATGACCTATTCTCTGCATATCTCAAACAGCAGAGAGAAAGTTTTAGAATACATGAACAAATGTATACATAATGATTTAAATTACCTTTCTTCTTCTCGAACCCATACTGGAGTTTTAGGAATTTGTGCTTGGAAAAACTTAGATGCTTTATAACAAAAATTGCTGCAAAAACACTGAAAAGAACATTTTAAAACTAGCAAATTATTGTTTTTCTTATAGTGAAACACAACTTATGTACAGGACAGTATAAAACATAAATATGTAGTTCAAAGAAAAGAATGAAAACCCATGACTCTATAATTCAGTGAAGCCACTGTGTGCTCCTTCCCAATGCACCACTCTCCACGTTCCCCAAAGGGTAACCACTGTCATAAATTTTGTGTTACTCATTCCTTTGCTTTCCTTTAGTTTTTGTGCTACTTGTACACATATCCGTGTAAAATCTATCATTCAATTTTGCCTTTTAAACTTTGCCTAAATAAAATCATAGTTATATATATTCTTGTCATCATTTTTTCTAATTGTTTTTGAGATTCATTCATATAGTTGTAGCTTATTCATTTACACTGTGTATTATATTCCATTGAGTAAACTACCTTTTATTATTTATGGATAATTGAACTGTTTCTCATTGTTTTGATATCACTGCAATGTCACTATGAATCTTTTTATACAATTTTTTAAACTAAAGAAACTGTGGCAAAATACAAAAAAATTTAACCATTTTTAAGTGTACAGTTCAGTGGCATTAAGTTACATTCTCACTGCAACCATCACTACCATACATCTCAACTCTCTTCAAATTTTGCAAAACAAACTCTACATCCATAAAACAATAACTCCCTCCTCCTCTGACACTTCTTCCACCTCCTCTGACAACCACCATTCTACTCTGTCTCCATGAATTTGACTACTCTAGTTACATTTAAGTAGAATCATATATTTATCCTTTTGTGGTGGCTAATTTCACTTAGCATATCTTTAAATTTCATCAATGTTGCAGCATGGGTCAGAATTTCCCTCCTTTTTAAGCTGAATAGTATTTTATTCTATGCATATACCACATTTTGTTTATCCAACTAGGAACATTCATTAACATATGAACAAGAATTTCCTTAATATATACACTAAAGAATAGAAAGGCTTGGTCATAAAGAATATACAAATCTGATAATGCCAAACAGCTTCTCAAAGAGATTGTCTGACCAGAAGTATAGAGTCGCTAATATTGTCAGATTTTTATAATTTTGCTAATTTGGGGGCTATGAAAATTTAACTCAGTGTGTTTTTGCTATTTTCCTGATTACTGATAAGATTGAGTATCTTTTCATATACTCATTAGTCATTCAAGTTCCTTCTATAAAATTTTCTATTAGGCTATTTGCCTTTTTCTTATAGATTATATATTCTAGTTATGAATCTGTGGTCAGATATGTGAGAAATACAACTCCTGATTTGTAGCTTATATTTTCACTCTTTTCTGAAAACTTCTAATGACCATTTATTTTAATGTAGAAAAATTTATCAATTTTTCCCCTACAGTCTGTAATTTTCTATCTTATTTAAGAAATTCTCTCTAGTCCAAGTTTATAAAAATATTCTCTTACTGTCTTTGAAAAGGTTTGTCTTTTATGCTTGGATCCCTAAATAGACTAAAATTGACCTTTGTATGTACTCTGAGATAAAGGTCAATTTTCATTTCTTCCATATAGATAACTAGTTGTGTTGGTACTATTTATTAATACATCCTTTCTTCACTGATCCACAATACTCCTGTTGTTATATACCAAATGTCTACACTTGGTGATTGTTTCTTCTTTTCTATTGTTATACAATTTACTTGCCTGAATTTGTTCCAATATACACTTTTGATTTTTAAATGTTCGAGTATTAATTAAAGCAAAAGCAGAGTTTTTTAAACACCTTGAATAAAATACTTATAAACGAAAAACCTCTAATGTGACTGTTTTCTAAAAGGCAAGATTTTTAAACAGTTATTTTTAGAATTGCATTTAGTACAATATTAAACATTAACTGCCCAACTGAAAACAGTCTTTAAACTTACCTTTCTTTCAGTAATATCATAGACTTTATTGGTTTTGGTAGAAATTTTATATTTCTGTTTTGGTACCTAAAGAAAAGAAAGCACGGCTTACAAAAGAATTCAAGTAATAAATTTGAACTTATGTTACAAGATTAAGTTATCTATATAACATATCTTTGGCTAACCCATGTCATTAGTTCAGGACCTCAGTTTTACTTCTTGTTCTTTCTTGTTCAAAGTATTTCATTGGATATAAAAATTCAAAGTCTATATTTAAAAAAATTACTTACAATTCCTAGCTTCTTCTGACATAAGGGATAACCACAAAGCTTGATAATAGAACGCTCATCCACGACATCTCTGTAGTGAGCAGGTGTGATAAATTTCCCCTGTAATGAAATAAAAGGGGGCATCCCCCACCCCCGGCCAGATTATTGGAAAAAGTTCATTTATCAGCTCTCTAGGCCCCATAGATCTCATCTGAAAACACAGGGATAACAATAGTACCTATCTCAAAAACAAACAATAGTACCTATCTCATAAGTTTGATGTCAGAATCAGAGGAGAAAATAAAGAAAAAAAACTAAGAAAAGTACTCAACACATAGTAGTACTCAATGTGAGCAATTATGTAAAAAGAACAAAAAACAAAAACTTCTGCCACAGCAGACTATGCAAATTTGTAGATTATACAATTCATGAAATAATTCTGAGGCAGGAAGAAGAAATGGTGCTATAGTGATTGCAATACCAAAGCAAAATACTAATAGTATATATTACTTTTTAAAAAATATTAAAAAAACACATTAAATATGATATAATTTTACCTATTTTTAAAGCACAATCTTAAAAAACAAAGTATATCGAAGGTGTCATTGTGACTTACACTCCTAAACAAATTTTTGTGCAAAATCTTCCAGCTTCTAAAAAAAAACTGTACAAGAGAATGGTGACATGATAGTTATAAGCTAACACAATATTTTTATGTTGATATCTTCAGTTCAAATAACCTTAAATCTTAATATTATTTTTGAAGTTTTCGTTTTTGAATGGACTGAAAAACTTTTTGAGAGTAATATAAGGTATTTGTTTCAAACGAAGCATTTCTGAATTGTGTTTATCTTCTTTACAGTCATTATGTATGCAGATTCTGATGCAGTTACTCATGTAAATTTAAATATTGTCATATTTATATTCTTGTTTTGAAAAATCTCTGAGCCACACTAAGAATTATTTTTGCAATAGAAGCTCTGAGTTTCAATTTTCCATTTTTTTCTCTTAAGGATTATGAGAATATAACAGAATTTCCATTCAAACTTTTAACTCAATAAAGCTGTTAGGTGAAAACAAAAAAAAAAATTAATGCATTTTATAATTCTATTGTTATGTGCTAAATCATAAAGGATCTGTATTTCATGTCTTTAGAATACCCAAATTAATGAAATTATATTGACAAAAACATTAATCTTCTGTTACTAAAATAGGACAACATATAGAATATGGAAAATGACATTGGGATCATAAATGCAAATGATGAAAATCGAATTAGATTAGCAGACTTGTTAAAACAACTACTACTACGGGGTAAAATATGTATGTTATTTTTCATTAGTGTATTTAAAATCATTATGCAAGGAATGCATAATTGATTATTTTAAAATACATGAATTATATACCATGATACCTGCGAAGATTTCAATAATGCAGGGAAGTTTCAGGTTGCACAGATTTAAAGAATTTATACTACAAAAGTAATAATTTCTCAACACATACACATTCCCTTAAGAATTCTTCCGTAATATTTTCTTCTAAAAGCTGTTCAACAATATGTAGAGCTTTTCTCTCAAACTCAATCTTCTTTCTCATAGTTTCTTCCAGTTCTTCTTTCCTAAAATTAAAAAAAGATTATTCAAAATTTAAAAATTCTACTTTTAAGTTTTATCATAGCTAATTGTTTTAAAATACAACACTAACAACTATTTTGCTATTTAAATTAATATTTTTTAATGCTGTTATTTTTGATCTAATACTTTTCAAAAAGGAAACAAGCTACTTGTTGCACTGTACACATAGAAAGTCTGCTACAACTAGATTATTTGATTTCCAGAACTTAGAGCACAAGGAAAAAATTCTTAGAGAGAAGAAAATGAGGTGAAATTTTTTAACCAGTTAAGAGTTTATATTCTATTGCTTCTGTGTGTATCTAAAAAGGGAGGCTTTTTCTCCTAAATCCTTAGAAAAAAGAAGAGATTAGAGAGGAAAAATACAACTTTGGCTGTTCTTACAAGTAAAAATTTATTAAGTCTCAAAAGTCAACGGATGGCGAGTTTGACAGGACAGAGTCATATCTGCAAAGAAGTGTTTGCTTACTTTCGTTGTAAAGCCTTATTAAATAATTACACTGACATGATTGTGTGGTTTAGAAAAACAGCAATCTTCCTGGAAGGGCTGGTCCTTATCATGGCACCCATGGAATTCTGTCAGCCTTTGCTTGCCCCCACACATTATGTAACAAAAAAGTACAGGCTGTTAGATCAAACAATGGCCCCAGGACAGTGGTTCTCAATTCCAGCTACATATTAGAATCATCCGATGAGATTTTTTTTTTTTTTTTTTTTAAAGATACTATGCCCAGGTTCCACTGCAGGCTCATTAAGTCAGAATCTCTGAGGCTGGGGCCTGGTTATTGGTATTTTCTTAAAAGTCTTCCAGATAATCTTAGTATGCAAGCAGGGTTGAGAATCACCACCATAGGACCAAAGATATCAATTATTTTGATGATGCATTTGCTCTTTTTCTGCACTGGTTTCTGCTTGCTTATTAGAATAACATTTGCTGGCCTCTTGGGCCTTGCCTCGGCCCTCATATCTGGACCTGGAATGTACTCACCATTTCTCCCTACATTCACTGACTTCCAAAACTTTACACTCCAATTCCTTGCCCAAAGCAATATGTTTTACAAAAACAATTTGAATAAGTGACTGCCAAGTAGGAAAAAATAAGGACATTAAAACTTTAAGGAGTTCTGAAGAAGATGGACTAGGTAAAAGCAGGGTTCGTCTCCTCCCAGGTCTGCACTGAAATTACAACCAAATTATAAAAAAATCAACGTGGAGAATCACCTGAAGTCCATCTGATCATAACACCAACATCTGATAATATAAAGGAGCCACATGGAAGCCAGTAGGAGGGGCAAAGTCTCAAATCAGGCTGGATCCACACCCGCAGGTGGTAGAAGATCACCGGGAGGGAGAGTAAGGCTCTCCCGAAGGAGAGGGAGTCCTGTTCTCATCTGGGGGCTCCCTAGCCCAGGGTATCAGCCCAGGAAACAGGAGAATCCAATAACTCTGTAAAAACCAGAGGGGATTCTAGCCGAACTTGGGCAGATATCAAGGTCCTGTGGGCTAGTCCCAGACAGCAACTGGTCTGGCTGTTATCTAAGACTTATGCTGCGGGAACTCGCAAACAGTTACCAAAGTTGCAGCAAGACTGAGGCTGTATTGATCTAACTGCCATTGTCTCTCTGAGACCCCGCCCTACCCTACCCACAAATTGCCCCAGGCGGCTCATTGCTTCTCCCCTGATCTCCCAAACCACACAGGCAATAAACTGGCTGGCACAGCATGGAAATCATCGGTGATCAGACCTTTGCTGCCTGCAAGAGTTGCAATATTGTGTCCGGGGAATGCAGGGGTCTGTGGGACCACCCCAGATGGCAGCTGGTCTCACTGTGATCTGTGTCTTAGGCAAAGAAGTTGCAAAACTGAGGCTGTACTGGCCAGATGGACCTTGTCTCCCTAAAATCCCGCTTCATCCAAGCCACAAAGTGCCTGCAGCACATCGACAAGCAGCCTCTTGTGCCTTGCTTGTCTCTGGGGTTGTGAGTCGGCGCAGGCAACAGACTTTGGCTAGCGCATGAGCGCATTTCAAGGAAAACAGTTGTAGACTGACCACTGCTGCCTGTACGAGCTGAAATATCTCTTCAAGAGAATGCAGGGGTCTGTACTGGCCTGACAGGCCTTGACTCCCTGAGTTCCTGCTCCATCTAATACACAAAGTGCCCACTGCACAATGATAGGCAGCTGCTCCTGTCCTGGTGTAGCACATTTAGGCTCAGTGTGGGCAGCAGCTGACCTTGCTATGAATGAAAGCCTGTACAGTGAGCCACAGAGACAGTGTGGGCACGTAAACTGACACTGCAGTGGCAGGGGGACATTTACTCTAAAGACCCAGGAGACTCCCGGGGTCCCTGCGCCACCCGATATGCATATCGCCCAGAGGCTCATCTAGTTTCAGAGACTTACAGGCAACTGACAGGCAGTGTCAGGCCTTGAGGAACACTGGTCTCTCTGCTAAATTGCCATAGGTCAGGGATAGGGGACAACCGACCACTGCCTACCGTGTTGTCTCTTCCACTTACCTATAGATTCAGCATAGGCAACAACCATCTGCGAATTGCTCTGTAGTTCTCAGTGGGTAGCCCTGAGCAATCAGAGCAGTGGCTGACTTTGGCCTCCAGGGGAGCCTCTCCTACGGGGCCACAAAACCAATGTATCTGGAGGCTGGCACCAGACCACAACGGAGCAACTCCTGCCTAGTCTCATTAGTGATATACACAAAGGGTGGTTGCAACAAGTACACAAGCCTGCTAGGGCAAATCCCATTCAGTAGGCTCAGCCCCCACACATCAACTCTTACCCTGTGAGTGCACCCAATTCCCACAATTAGTCAGCCTAAATGTTAATTAATCCCATCCACTGATGTACTAACAACAATAAAGGCTTGGCGACGACATAAGATCACACACAACCCACACAAAGGTCACGTCCAGAGCCCCCGGCATACGGTATCAGGGAGAATGTGCCACTGGGCCACAGAAGACACCTTCCACATTAGACCACCTGGCCAAGGCTGAGAGATGAAACAATTATTCTTGACACATAGAAACTAACACAGAGAGGCTAATAAAATGAGAAAACAAAGAAACATGACACAAATGAAACAACAGGAGAAAACTCCAGAAAATAAGCTAAATGAAATGGAGGCAAGCGACCTACCAGAAACAGAGTTCAAGATAATAGTTATAAGGATGCTCAATGAACTTATGGGAAAATGGATAATACAATGAGAATCTCAACTGCATAAAAAAGGAAACAGAAACCATAAAAAAGAACCAGACAGAAATGAATACAATAATGGAAATGAAGAATACACTAGAAGGATTCAACAGTAGATTGGACAAAGCAGCAGATCGAATCAGCGAATTGGAAGACAAGGTACTAGAATACACCCAATTGGAACAACAAAAAGAAAAAAGAATTTAAAAAATGAGTATAGTTTAATAAGAGACCTCTGAGACAACATGAAGCATAAAAATATCTGGATCATGAGTACCTGAAGAGGAAGAGAGAGAGCAAGAGACTGAGAACCTACTTGAAGAAATAATGACAGAAAACTTCCCTAACCTGGCAAAGGAATTAGACACACAAGTTCAGGAAGCACAGAGTCCCAAACAAGAGAAATTCAAACAAACCTACACCAAGACATATCGCAATTAAAATGTCAAAGGTCAAAGACAAAGAGAATCTTAGAAGCAGCAAGAGAAAGGAAGCTAGTTACTTACAAGGGTACCCCCATAAGAATGTCTGCTGACTTCTCAATGGAAACTTTGCAGGCCAGAAGGGGATAGCAAGCAATATTCAAAGTTATGAAAAACAAGAATCTACAACCATCTACCCAGCAAGGTTTTCAATTAAAATGGAAGGTGAGATAAAGAGCTTCCCAGACAGGAAACAGCTTAAGGAATTCATCACCAACACACCAGCATTACAAGATATGTTAAAGGGACTTCTGCAAAGAGAGAAGGGGTAAAAAAGAAAACAGAAATAACAAATATGAATAATAAAATGGCAGTAACAATGTACCTACCAGTAATCACTTTAAATGTAAATGGAAAGATATAGGATAACCGACTGGATAAGAAAACAAAACCCATGCATATGCTGCCTTCAAGAGGCCCACTTCAGATCAAACTACACTCACAGACTGAAAGTAAAGGGATAGAAAAGGATATTTCACGCAAACGGAAATGAAAAAGTCGGGGTAGCAATACTTATATCAGATAAAATAGACTTCAAAACAAAGGCTATAATAAGAGACAAAAAAGGGCATTACATAATGATAAAGGGATCGATAAACTGAGAGGACATAAACCTAGTAAACATATATGCATCCAACATAGGAGCACCTACATGCATAAAGCAGTTATTGACTGACATAAAAAGAGAGGTCGACAACAATACACTCATAGTTGGAGACTTTAACACCCCACTGACACCAATGGACAGATCTTCCAGGCAAAGAACCAACAAGGAAACAATGGGCCTAAAAGACATATTAGAACAGATGGATTTAATAGATATTTTCAGAGCATTTTACCCCAAAGCAGCAAAATATACATTCTTCTCAAGTGCACATGGAACATTTTCAAGGATAGACCACATACATGTTAGGACACAAATCAAGTCTCAATAAATTTAAGAATACTGAAATCATATCAACTGTCCTCTCTGATCACATTGGTATGAAACTAGATATCAACGACAAGAAAAAAACTGGAAAATACACAAACACATGGAGGCTAAATAACATGCTACTAAACAATGAATGGGTTATTAATGAGATCAAGGAAGAAATCAAAAGATACCTAGAGACAAATGAAAATGAAAACACGACTCAAAATTTATGGGGCACAGTGAAAGCAGTCCTAAGAGTGAAATTCATAGCAATACAGGCCTACCTCAAGAAACAAGAAAAAATTCAGAGAAACAATCTAACTTTACAATTAAAAGAACTAGAAAAACAACAGCAAACAGCCAAAATTGAAGA